TCCATATAAGGTAAAACTCCGACTAATGGCTCATAGTCGGAGTTTTTGAGCCAATCAGAGAGCTAGAAATGCAATAGTCGGAGCTGAGAATATACTAAGACATGGTTATACCCAACTCGGCGCTAAGCACCTCGTTGGCAATCTACTATCGCAAATCCAACGAACGCTCGAGGAATAATTGTTAAATAGACCATAAGAAAGCTTAAAAAAAATAAAAAAAAATAAAAAAAAAACTTCATGCCTTCAATATTTCAGTTAAAACCATCTCCTCAGCCAATCACGAAATGGAATTTGAAAGTGTCCTGTTAGAGGGTATGCACTTCTCTTGCACAATATTGATAGTCAGTGATAAATGTTGAAAAACTCGACGTGACGCAACCACCACCAAGAGGGCCCCTCGATTCCAAGGGAGAACCCTGCTTGGAGTAACAGTCTGATTAAGCTAACGATGCCGGGATAAAACATTATCAGTCATTTCCAAGCTTTCAATTTTCCCTGTATATCCAGCAGGATTTTGTTAAAAGCCATTCACGTCCATCCTCCTTAACACTACCCCGCTACAAAAATATCCAGGGAGATTTTCTGAAGAATTAAATCTGCCGACTTGTACGGTGGCCCACGGAGCAACACCAAAGGCGACGTTATCTATTAATTTGATACCTCTCTCGTGAAACCACTTCGGGTGATCATGTTTTCGCAAAAAAGCCTATACCAGGTAAGCCAAAATGTGGGCGGTTGTTAAATTTTCATTATCTACCGTGTTGTATATATTTCAATGTCGGTTCTATATCAGAAGAATATCAGTATTTTGGTCATTATCCTAGTGCGCGCTTATTCGTCTTAGTACACCTTCTTAAAATGGAACACAATTTTTCTCTACCCTAGTGCCGTTATCGTGGCCACGACTGATACTAATTGAGCTAAAACTTTATATACTTTCTAGGGTATGTTACTATATTGGCTGAAGATGAATTCACATATATAAATTCACCATGTTCATTAAATATACCAAATTAGATAAAATAGTTAGTCAAAACGATACAACTTTCAAAACAATTCCGTTCTGAAATCATTTAATGATCAATTAAAACCAGCCCTCAAGCACAACTAATTATATCCTTAAAACGTGATTGATATCGCAATGATCTTGAAATGACTTTTTTTTTTCAGAAATGAGGATTTTAATGAGGAAAGTGTTATGCTGGAATGCTAATCACTAATGTTGCTTTATTTTGTTTTAGTCCTAATAAAATATCGGTTTTTTTGTTTTGCTTTGCTTTGTTTGAATTATCGTTTTCAAATCATCACACTGCTTATTGAAATGCTTGACATTACCTGAAAAGTCTCAAAATGAGAAATTGAGCTTCCAGTTAATTTGAATTTTTCATAGCTTTGTCTTCCACTTTGATGCAGCAGGCATTAGTAGATCAAACCAG